GTCTACAGATCAAAATTAGCAGAATGATTCACCGATTTATGTGTATAAGGAGACACGCCATCATAATTATGTAAACAGTCATAGGCACGCCACTTATCAGTCCAAATTTCTGTTCCAGGTAGTACATGTTCTATAATTTTTTCTAAAATTAATTTTCTCGACCGACCTCTTAAATAAATCACAACTCCTCTTTTTGTTGTAGTATCTACCATTCCCAACACCCAAACTTGTGGTACAATCCTACCTATATTATATTTTCTTCTGGTGATTACACTTTCGTCAATTTGAACAACATGATTAATACCACCTAGTAGAAATAGTTATGGTACATTCAAAAGTTTCCAAGATGCAACATCTCGAATAAATCGATACATTTGACACACTGTTGTAAGTCTTCTATTCAATAATCAAAATGCTACTGTTGGTGTCACGAGACAGGCCCAGAAATATACCAATACCATAATGTCCATTATTGGAACATGCATATTTTCAAAAAAAGATCCCTTTAAAATACTATATCGCTTAAGAAAAATTCGACAATAAAAAGTAGAACTCAAATTTCCATCGTTACTTTTAATTAACTTACAAAAGCGTCGTCAAGATCGAGTAGAACACCGTAGGCTCTCACGTATCAGGCGATATTCTTGAAGCTTTTGTAAGACACTCAAATCACTTTGATTTCGTCCAAAATCATTAAAAATATCTTCGATATTCATATTTACAACTTTTTTTAAATTCAAAATCTTGATAACCACACATAAAGAGCAACTACGAATTGAAATTACTACACTTCTGTCAAAATAAGTACTTTTTAACATCCGCAACAAAAAACAGTTCCAACTTGAAAGGGCCATATTTTTAAATTTTGTCTATAATGCGCAATTTTTTTTTAATTAATAAGTATATACCTATCTGTACTTTTATTTAAAACATATATCAAACCTGTAATTTTGTGATACTTAAGTGATATGTCACCAGGTCCGTAAAATTGGCAGTGCAAAATCGGCGAAAATAAAAAAAAAAACACCAAAATTTGTTGCTTTTTAGTTGCTAATTAGTTGCCAAAGAAACGATTTTGTTGCTCAAACCGATCAAAAAAAATCGGCAACGAATCTAGCTTAACGTTAAGTTAGCGTGAAAAAATAAATAAAGGTGTGGTATATTGCTTGATTGCAAGTCAATTTGTTGCTAATTTGTTGCTTTAAAATAAATTTGGAAAAATTGAATTTTTCCATTTTTGTAAAATTTAATACTGTCCACGCCAGCTTAACTCCCAATTTTTCCAGGTTAATTTTGATCAAATAATTTGTTGCTGCTCCTGAGGTGACTTCTCAAGGTGTGTAGAGTCAGCAACAAAATATAAACCGGAAGTCGGGAAAGTTTGGACACCGGTTAGTTCACAAACCGGTCACGCACGCACGCACGCACGCACGCACGCACGCACGCACGCACGCACGCACGCACGCACGCACGCACGCACGCACGCACGCACGCACGCACGCACGCACGCACGCACGCACGCACGCACGCACGCACGCACGCACGCACGCACGCACGCACGCACGCACGCACGCACGCACGCACGCACGCACGCACGCACGCACCCACGCACCCACGCACCCACGCACCCACGCACCCACGCACCCACGCACCCACGCACACACGCACACACGCACACACGCACACACGCACACACGCACACACGCACACACGCACACACGCACACACGCACACACGCACACACGCACACACGCACACACGCACACACGCACACACGCACACACGCACACACGCACACACCCACACACCCCCACACCCACACACCCCCACACACACACACACACACACACACACACACACACACACACACACACACACACACACACACACACACACACACACACACACACACACACACACACACACACACACACACACACACACACACACACACACACACACACACACACACACACACACACACACACACACACACACACACACACACACACACACACACACACACACACACACACACACACACACACACACACACACACACACACACACACACACACACACACACACACACACACACACACACACACACACACACACACACACACACACACACACACACACACACACACACACACACACACACACACACACACACACACACACACACACACACACACACACACACACACACACACACACACACACACACACACACACACACACACACACACACACACACACACACACACACACACACACACACACACACACACACACACACACACACACACACACACACACACACACACACACACACACACACACACACACACACACACACACACACACACACACACACACACACACACACACACACACACACACACACACACACACACACACACACACACACACACACACACACACACACACACACACACACACACACACACACACACACACACACACACACACACACACACACACACACACACACACACACACACACACACACACACACACACACACACACACACACACACACACACACACACACACACACACACACACACACACACACACACACACACACACACACACACACACACACACACACACACACACACACACACACACACACACACACACACACACACACACACACACACACACACACACACACACACACACACACACACACACACACACACACACACACACACACACACACACACACACACACACACACACACACACACACACACACACACACACACACACACACACACACACACACACACACACACACACACACACACACACACACACACACACACACACACACACACACACACACACACACACACACACACACACACACTCTATAAACCTTGAGAAGTCATTCCGTGCTCAGCAACAAATTATTTGATCAAAATTAACCCGGAAAAATCGATAGTTAAGCTGGCGTGACCGGTTTGTGAACTAACCGGTGTCCAACTTTCCCAACTTCCGGTTTATATTTTGTTGCTGACTATATGCACCATAGCAATTAAAGCTGTGAGCAGCAACAATTTATTTGATCAAATTTGACCCGGAAAAATCGATAGTTAAGCTGGCGTGACCGGTTTGTAAACTAACCGGTGTCCAAAATTTCCCGACTTCCGGTTTATATTTTGTTGCTGACTATATGCACCATAGCAATTAAAGCTGTGAGCAGCAACAATTTATTTGATCAAATTTGACCCGGAAAAATCGATAGTTAAGCTGGCGTGACCGGTTTGTGATCTAACCGGTGTCCAAACTTTCCCGGCTTCCGGTTTATATTTTGTTGCTGACTCTACACACCTTGAGAAGTCACCTCAGGAGCAGCAACAAATTATTTGATCAAAATTAACCTGGAAAAATTGGGAGTTAAGCTGGCGTGGACAGTATTAAATTTTACAAAAATGGAAAAATTCAATTTTTCCAAATTTATTTTAAAGCAACAAATTAGCAACAAATTGACTTGCAATCAAGCAATATACCACACCTTTATTTATTTTTTCACGCTAACTTAACGTTAAGCTAGATTCGTTGCCGATTTTTTTTGATCGGTTTGAGCAACAAAATCGTTTCTTTGGCAACTAATTAGCAACTAAAAAGCAACAAATTTTGGCGTTTTTTTTTTATTTTCGCCGATTTTGCACTGCCAATTTTACGGACCTATGTCACCCGTATTTCAAAATTATATTTTGGCTTATTGTTAGATTCTATGTTATCTGAGCTTTCATTTTAAACTAGTAACTTAATTTCTACGTTAATCAAGCTTAGACGACACTCAACTTTAGATTATACGTTATCTAAGTTTTATTTTTATAAACCAACAACTTAATTTCTACGTTAATCAAGCTTGAGCCACATCCAACTTACATAATTTGTCTTAAATACACTTTTATCCATAAACACTTATCACTAACTAAACTATATCAAACGAAACAACAATAACACCCGTTTTCGTGAGTCTATCCCGTCGCTGCACTGTATTTTTAAATAATAATCTAAGAAACAAATACAAACGTTTTATTCGCAAGCCGAAATTCAAATTAATAATCCTTTGTCACAAAATCTTATCATAAAAACCCTCTCTGAATTTTGGTTGATTCATCACTTCGATATCTGGCCTGGTTGACGAATTGATTTTCTTCGATCGACTCGCATAGCCGTGCGATTTCATGTGACGCAGGGTACGAAATGTTAACAATTTATTCTTGTAATCGGCTTGCAGCCTAGGTTATGTTTCTTATTTATTTATTTATTTTTTTTTAGAAACAAACAGGCATTAGCCTAATTACATGTTTCTATAATATCATTAACCAAAAAAGAAATTAACAAAAATACACAATATATAATTAATACACTTAATTTTGTTTATATTAAACAAACATCGCTACTAAAATGATTTTATCGAAGTTTAAAGAAAAAGAGCGCTAGCAAACCCCACACGAAATCCAAGAATATTCTACAAAATCATGTTACTATAATATTTTTTTTAAGTTCTTTTCTGTATGTGCTTATAGCTACATCGAAAATACCGCAAGAGATGTCTTCGTAATGTACGTTGAATAATAGACAATTTTTTTCTAATTGACCATGATTATTTGCACGAAAAGTTAATTTACGGGGGCGAATACTTGCCACTGTATCATTGATTTTTATTTGACTCAATAAATATTATTAGTGTACAAAATTACATAAACATATCTGTGGTGATATGAAAATTATGATAAAAAAAGTAACTTTTTTAAACTAAGAAGTTTACAACAGATGTTGATATCAACTCTTTTTCTTAAAACCATCCAAGGATTCACACCCTTAAGTATCGACTCTAAATTATAAAAACACCCTGTGCTGTATAGATACATAATTTATAAACTATAAACACAAACCATTATTACACAACCAAATTATCTAAATTAAACTAATACACTTTTAACACTTACGTTATGTCTCCATTCCACCTTGTAGACCGAAGGATGGGCATTAAGGATACAGTCAAAGTAAACGTCAGTACCCTCTCTGATGATATGAGGATTCAAGGATGTGCCCAGGAGAATTTTCGCCTCTGGAGTATCTGCAATATTAGAAATAATTAGAGGAAGTCATGAAAGGCGCTCATTTAGGACACAAACTCCATTGTAAATAGTACAAAATGGCGTGTTTTTCGTGCAAGTTAAAATAACATTTCGTGGGATAATAGGTTGAGCAGTAATTGTCTGTAAATGGTCGTTTAATAAATTAGTGTTATAAATCTAATTATTTCTACCTGAACTCTTATAAAATAAAATAAATTATATCAATTAAATGTTAAATAAATTGTATACAAAACCGATACTAAAAATAATCAAACAAGGAAGAAAGTAAACTGGAAATATTAAGAAAAACAATTAAAATTGTCAAAACAACTAAAATGACATTGTTGTTAAAACATGGCACAAAACTGGTTAATAATGGAGTATTAAATATCATTATTTATTGTGAATTTTATATTTCTTTCTTAATTTATCTATGAAGCGTTAAAAAGTATTTCAACAAAAAAGTTTGGTCGAAACAATCGCAAACAATTTACTAAATTTCTATTTAAAATAAGTAAGAGATATTCCTTTTTTATTTTTTTTTTTAAGAAAAAACTTTTTTGCCACAAAAAAACGCTCCAATCGCTATTTTCAACACCAAAATGTTAAACAAACCATGGGCGTAGTGAAGAAAAGCATTTACTTATTAAGTAAATGCTTTTACTCAAATTTCTTCTGAAAGTAGTACAAACTAATCTGACCTACCTATTAAATTCTACTTTAAGCTTTAAATCAATAAATTTCCAAAACTACTAAACTGAAGTACATTAATTTTACATTAATATAAAGGGAATTGAAAGACCTTTCAAATGATGAATCATTCGGCCCCTTTTCTATGTAAGATTTTAGAGATAGTGCCACCCTAGGGGCTGCCAATTTTGTGTCCCCATCGAAAACAAAATCAACGGGTCTAAGTGTTTTTCCAAAAAAGAACTAAGCTGCCAGTAAATGTCTCTGTTTCGTTTAAGATGCGTTACCCTGTATGTATGTAAAAACGGTTAAATGCTTGCTTTTTAAAAACGAATAAACCGAACACCTTGAAAATTTATTATTCCTTCTGAGCCTTTATTTTTAGTCCGATTTTTGTGAAGTTTTCAGGAAATACCAATAATAACAAAACTTATGGTAGATAATCACTGAATTTTTGTAAACCTTCGAAAAGTATTTGTTTTGAAAAATTTTAAAATGAATAAAAAAAATTTCGCGCTATTCTGTATTAAATCGGTAAAAATTGGCTGCTTCTGGTTTTAATAAATAGTTTTTTACACCCATATGGTTATTAGCTTATCTACGCACAGATTACAAAACGTAAAAAAGTATGCTATTGCCTTCAACTGAACGAATATATTTCATAGTAAGAACACTGCAAAAAAATAAATCCACCGATCATCGTTCATATTTTGATCAACCGACTGCTATTATTTTTAAAATTTTAAATAAGTGACAATTCTGTCAAAATAATTGTCAGTAATTTTTTATTTATTGAGATTAAACATACATTAAAATGAGTAGAATCGATAAATAATAGAATTTATATTTTTATTTCGTCTATAATTATAAATAATTTGTTAATTTAAATAAAACTATATGAAGTCAATTTAATTGTAACTTCGAGGAACTATTCCTTCTCAGAGAAGGTCTCAGAGAAGAAAATTTACACGAGTTTATAAGATTATAAAATAAAAAAATTGAGTTGATTTTTGCTGTAAAAAAAAACAACTCGCACATGCACTAAACATAAAAATAACAAAACAAGTGGTACGGTTATTTAAAGTTAAAAGTAAGAACAGTAGATTCTGAGAGTTTCAGATTTTTATCTGGCAGTCAACACGTTCATTATATAACCTGAATAATGCAATTTTTGAAAATTTCAAATAGTTTTTTCTTTTTCTGCTCAGGTTGACTTGTGGCTGTATTTTATCTATGATCTATACACTTAATTTCTGAGGAACATAAGCTGCTAAGTCGCTAGAGTCGATTGAAATTCACGAAAAATGATCAAAAAACACTTATTTTCAGCACGCTGCCATTAATCAGAGTTATTGACTGAGCAAATTATCGATGCTTACACTTAAACTACTATCAGAATTTCGCTTTAGTAATGTAGTTATCTTCAAAAAGAAACATTTCATAGGAAAAGTCGATAAGGCTTAAAAATATCAATTTTTTAAAGTCTTTATTTAAATAGGTGGAAAGTAGTGCTTATAAAAATAAAACTCGTGTAAATTTTCTTCTTTGGAACCCTAAGGAATAGTTCCTCAAAGTAACACCAAAATCTAAAATGGATCAGCAACAAATTTTTTAATTTACAGACGATTTTGTATGGAATGACTCTTTCGCGATAGGTCCGGTTTACTCTTAAGGATATTTAAATAAACCGGGGTTACGCTTGACAGACTTCTTAACTGTCAAATCAATCAGCCATGTCCGGCTAAAATTAAATCCATTCCATGCTAATTGGCAGCACTAAATTTTCAAAGATTATCACTGAATTCGATTATCTTACTTATTTTATCTATGGAACAAACCTCGTATATTGGAGTCAGTATACATATTATAACGATTTATATAAAACAATTTTTCTATTTATCTAACAATTATTTATGGTACTTACAATGTATTTCCAACTTCCATCCATCTTCCAACACCACTGATGGAATGGCTTTGTTTTCAGCTTTACATGAAAGGTATTTTCCATCATCTTCCTTTTTTGGAACGAATGCCAACGTGTTGATTGACGTGTTTCCATCTTTCGAAGTCTGTCGGAAAAAATAAACAATAGTAAAATAAAAATTGTATCCATTTATCATGGTGTTTTTATCATCATTGTTTCATTTAAATGGGATTTCATTTTATTTTTATAATGATAGAAAATAACTGATGTTATAAAATGGAATATTATATATATTATATATTTTTCAAATATCATACAGCTGCATTTAGCTAATAAATAATTTAATAGGCATTAATCCATTAAAAAATATATTTACATTATCTGTTGATATTTACAGTTTTTTAACAAACTACAATATATTCGTATCTATTGCAGATATTGTGCAACTAGTGTGGAAAATAGGATATTTTCACATGAGTATGAAATAACCAATTTTCGCACGAGTTATACAGTTATTCTTTTCTGCTGGACTTGCTCGATGCCATAAGTCCTGATAAAAATAATAAAATTACTCCTATTTATATCAGTATCTTATCCTCTCGATAGCATAAGGTGTTGAGCGGCTAGTATTCGTTTATGAACCTTTTAGTAGTTCAGAGACACACGGATTCAGATCCTACATAAAACCACATGAATTTTTCTATTCATTTTCATGATTCGTTGTAGAATTTGATGGGTGCCGTATTAGAAGCTTTAATGATAATATGGAGAGGGGTGGTTTTAAAGTTTTTATCACCTGTAAGTCAAATGGCACCATAAATCATCTGTAAGTCATCCTGAAGCGCCACGGCAAATAATAACAATAGCCGTCCCTTCCCCGCACAAGCTCAATCAACTTCTAGGGTTACAATTCATTCTTTAGAGGTAGGGAGAGTATTTTTTTTTGCAAAGTAATTCTCCATTTTATGCCAAGCCATCAGTACAGTTCTTCCGTTTCAAAATCTTTTTTCTCTGTAGTTAACTTCAACTTTAAAATGGATTACTAAGCAGAAACTTAAGAATTTTTCTGTTTTATTAATGTAATGTAAATCTTCTATGCTTCGATTTTTCTTTATCTTTCACCTTTTCGTCAAGGTTTCTACGTAGAAAAGATGATCTAGGTTCGCAAAAGCAATTACTAGATCCTCGTTGACAGTTAAGATAACAATATAATCTATAAATGTTCCTGTGTTATACTTTTTAATAGTCCTATAACTGTAATATACAGGGTATAACAAAAAGGTGGGTGATAAATGGAACCACATATTCTGGGCTCAAAAATTACTCGACTGAACATAACTTACCTTAATGCAAATATGCACACACGAAAATACAGCCCTTGGTAAGTACAAAATGAAAATCAAATTTTTTCAATATTTTATAAACTGTTTAACATCTTTTTTACATAAAACCATGTAATTTTTAGAGCTCATAAAAATTTGAGGGGAGTTTTGAACCTCTAAAATCCCCAAATCGAGATGCATCTTTTTCATTACCCATCAAATATTTTGAAGTTGGCTGTTCAACACTTTCTGTCAATTGAAGCTTTTGATTATTGTGCATTTTAAGAATGTTAAAAAAAATTAAACTTTCGGTTACAATGGTTTACAAGTTTGCAGAAATGGCAGATATGCAACTTGCTGGTAATAGTGGTTGTCCAAAAATGGATACAAACGATAAAGATATTTTAGAATTAGTTGAAGAAAACCATGGAAGCAGTACAAGGGTAATAGTTGCTTAATTAGATGTTGGTTACTTGATGGTCTGGAGAAGATTGAAGGAATAGTAGCTTCATCCCTGTAATGTTTGGAGTAGAGAACAACAGACAACAGCTAGTGTGGTAATATGAAGGCAACACTTTTCGAAGAAAGGTTTTATTTAATATATTACAACTAGTAATAATTGATACAGGCACTTCGACCGTAAGCCTGTCACAACTGACAACTAATGATATATGACACGCTCTTTACAAAAAAAAAAAAAATAAAAATAATAAAACTGAAAGTTAACAACTTTTAAAATAAAAGGTTTTAAAAAAAAATAAACTAAAATATAAATGTTAAATCTAAGTAAGGTGACCGCTTGATAACCGATATTCTGGATCATTGGTAACTTATGATGTTCGTAGTGGTCTAATCATCTGTCTATTTCTACGATATTCAGCTTCTCCTATCTCAACTATATAGTCTTTAGGGCCGGATTCCCTTACAATTTTTGCAGGAACCCAATCACGAGTACCTTTTTGAACCAAAACTTTTTGAACCAAAACTTTTTGTTTTGGTATCAATTTTGACAACTGCTTGGTTGAATGGTTATAGTAAGTCTCTTATTTGCATTGTTTGTCTTCCAATATTTGTTTTATACCTTCCATTGAGAAATTAGGTTTTAGAAGAGTTTTCGGGACAGGTAATGTAGTTCTTAATCTTCTGCCCATAAGAAGTTCACTTGGTGATGGTAATTGTTCCTTGGTAGTGACATTGTAATTAATTATTGCTAGGAATGGATCTTCGCCATCCTGGTATGCCTTTGTTAATAAACCTTTGACAGTTTGCAATGCAACCTTTCTACCATCCCGTTAGATCTAGGGTAAATAGGACTAGAAGTATTATGTTTTATATCATATTTTTTAGTGAATTCCAAAAATTCGTGAGAATTAAAGGGCGGGCCGTTATCATAAAATATTTCTTGGGGTATTCCGTGGTTCGTAAAAACATTTTTTAATGATGATATGACTGTTTCTCCTCTTTTGTTGGTTAATTTATTTGCTATTATTAATTTGCTGTAATAATCAATAATAACTATAAAATTCAATGTGCCTAACGACTTGAAATCGATTCCACGGAAGTTCCGGAACTGAATGAGAATGGAGAGGCTCCCTTGGATTTGTCTTGGAATATTTTTGGCAAGTTATACACCTTAAAACAGTATTTTCTATGTCTGAAGATAATCCAGGCCAGTATATGCAATCTCTTGCCGTTCTTTTACAGGCAACGACTCCTTGATGACTCTTGTGTATCAAGTTTAAAAATTCTGCTTTCAAACTGTCAGGAATTATTAACCTCTTTTGATAAAAAATTCAATCATTGTGACAAAATATTTCGTGTCTAATTTGCCAGAAATGTTTCAAAAGTGGAGGTAGGTTGCCTTTATGTGATGGCCAACCATTTAATAGATAATATTTTACTTTTTGGAGGATAGGATCTGTAGAAATTGCTATTTTTAAACGATTTTCGTTCTCTTCTGAGGTTGAAAGAATTGAATAAATTTTTAGGTTTGTGTCGACATAGGATGTGTCGATGAAGGTATTAATAGGATCTCTACTAAGTGTATCAGAAAGTTGTTGATTTTTTCCAGGAACGTAAACTAATTCAAATTGGTATCTCAATAAACGAAAGGTAAGGCGTTGAATTCTAGGAGATAGGTCTTCAAAAGGTTTTTTAAGCACGCCTAGTAATGGGCGATGGTCTGTTTGAATAGTGATATTATTACCAAAAGTAAGATAATGGAATCTCTCACATCCGAATACGCTAATAGTTCCTTTTCAATGTGATTATAATTTTGCTGCGTTTGCGTCAAAGAAACTGACGCAAACTCTATTGGATGTCCATCTTGTAGAATTACCGCCCCTAAACCGAAGGGACTGGCATCAACCGATAGAATAATGGTTTTTTTAGGGTTTAAGTAAGCTAGCACCGGTACTGTAGAAACTAAAGATTTTAATTCTTCAAACGATTTTTCTTCATTTAGGGACCACAGCCACTCTGATTTATTACTAAGAAGTTTTCTTACAGTACTAGTTTTTTCAGATAAATTTGGAATAAATTTTGATAGATATCCTATCATACCTAAAAATCGTTGTAAATCATTTTTCTTTTTGGGACTTTTTAAATCAATGATTGCTTTCACCTTATTGGGATCAGGGCTTATACCATTTAGATTTATAATGTGACCTAGAAATTTTAACTCCCTTACGCAAATTTTTGATTTCTCTAAATTTAATGTAAGACCGGAATTTTTGATCTTTTTCAATGCATTTTCTAGGTTTGTATTATGTTCATCTAAGGTACTACCAAATACTAAAATGTTATCAAAATAAGCTACAACTCCTGATAGTCCAGATAGTATTTCAAGTGTGCACCTTTGGAAAATTTCGGGAGATGAGGAAAGTCCATAAGGAAGCCTTAAATATCGATATCTGCCAAATGGGGTTGTCACTGTACATAAAAGGGAACTGTTATGATCAATTGGTATTTGAAGGAATGCTGAAGATGCATCTAATAGTGAAAAATATTGAGAACCAGAGAGCTGGGAAAATATAACATCCTGTGTTGGAATTTGGAAAAATTCCCGTTTAATATATTTATTTAATTTCCTAGGGTCTAAACATAGACGAATATCGCCATTTGCTTTGGGTGCTATCACCAAAGGGTGGACCCAATCTGTAGGTTCAGTAACTGGAACAATAATATTTTGGGCCACCATTTCATCTAACTTTTGTTTTACCTTATCACGTAATGAATATGGAATCTTCCGAGTAGCGGAAATACTGGGTATTGCATTATCTTGAAGTGAAATTTTACAAATTTTTGAAATTTTACCTATACCCTCAAAAATATGTTTATATGTTTGAAGTATGTAATTTACAGAGTCTATTTCTTTGTTAGAAGTCACTGATTCTACTCAAAAGTCCGCATTTATAATATTTAAGTCTTAAGCACTGGTCAGTCCTAAAATTGAACTAGGTATGTTTGAATCTAAAATGTAAAACATTAACATTTTCTGAATGTTTTTATATTTACAGTCAATTAATATTTTTCCACGCACACTAACTTTATGTCCCGAATAAGATGATAACGTGGAATTGGTTTTTGAAATGTTGTCAACACTAATTTTTAGTTTCATAAAGTCTCTAAAATTAAGAATATTGACTTGACTACCAGATTCTACTTTTTGCTTTAAATTATGACCAGCTATTTGTATTAATTCACACCACTCAATAGCGTTTACACTATAGTCTATAATTGTCCAAATAATTTTGTTATCAGTTTCGTAATCTACGTTATTAATATTGATTTGATCAAGATCAAATTCATCTGAGGAATCGTT